CAATAAAATATTACTTTGTTTTTTTTATTTTACTTAGTGGTATGTGACTGTATCATCTAAAGAACTGTAAGGAATGTTCTTTATTTGCTTCATTTTTTTTTAAACTTTCAAATGAAAACACAAAATTTTAAAAAAAGCACTATTTGCATTTAAAATGGTAAGGATGATAAATTTCATAATATGTGTCTTTTAACCATCATTTTTTTAAAAAGGCATTACCGGATTCCCAACATTGTTTTAAAAAAAATAAACATCCATTAACACCTAATAGCTTCAGTAACAATTTTAAGCTAAAGTTTATGTACATGTGAAACTGCCTACAAGGGTATTTATTTATTGGTTTTATATTATATACTCTCGTACCTGTTATTTTTAAGTGCACACTTCACTTTTCATTTGAACTTAGTAAGTCTTTAACTCAGATTTTAATATCTTACCTAACCACTGTATCAAAAAGAATTTTTGCCATGAATTCTCTACTTGCTTTAAATTTAATTTTAAATTGCTTAGGAGGAATTTATCATGAACTAGATTTAGTTTGTGATAACTAAGTTCAAACAAAGACATTTCAAAATTAGTACATATTTTTTGTAGGGTTAAGAATTTTATATGAAGCAGAAAATTCATTTTTAAGATTAAAATGGTATCTCATAAATCATAAAAGAAAACTGCATTAAGAAGCAATGACACACAAATAAAAATAGTTAAGCAAATTTGGTCTGAATACGGTGTTAAATTTTCTTAAAAATGTTTTATAAATAAGTAATTTCTAGAACTGTTTGTATATATTTATCTTAGTACAAAAATATCACACTTATGAATTAAGTATCCTGATGGTGAGAAGAAAAACTCTTAATATGCATCCTTGTTATCTGCCAAAACTATAAACAATAACTTTGATTTCTTAGCACAAGTTAAATTTTGTCTATTACCATGCCATGTATTAAATTGGTCTTTCCACTTGAGAAAAGTAAAAACTCATTATGGGAAAAGTAATATTTATAAATAAAGAAGACAAAAACGTTTATTTTATTTAGAATACAAATCAAAATAAGGAATTACTAGGCTATCAAATTCTGCTTGAATTTGCAAATTTTACAAAGACACAATCACTTGAAACTCACCAGTGTAAGCACAGAATTTTCTTGAAAAATTAGAGTCAAGCTTAGAGAGCTTAGAAAAGAGACTACATATTATCATTTAACATTTGCTTAGGGAGAAATTATAAATCAATTGTTAGGGGCAGAGTTATTTATTAAACACAACCCACTTAGATGGTTTTATTTGGAAAAAATACTAGTTTAGTATCCAACATATAATATACACCAAAAAATTTGGGGGTAGATTAAAGGTATAAAATATTTAGAAATCAAATTGTTAAAAGAAAGGGAGAAAGTAGACCTTTCTAATCAAAGTTGTAGATAGTAATGACTTTTGAAACTTAGAAGCAAAATATGAAAGATAAGTAAATACATAAAAATATAAATGTGTGTATGAGGTTTGTGTTTGTGTCCAAAAGGAAATATTTTAGTCAAACAACAGAAAATTGTTTTTAAATGCAAGCCTGCTAGGTAAAAACAAAAACAAAAACCCTCATCAATTGGACAGGAAGAAAGAATAGGAGAAAATACTCCAGAATGAGAACTTCAAATAGTTTGATAAAAAAAAGTGCTCCAACCTAAGCCATGTAAATGGCCAAAGGATATGAACAGAAAATGTAAAAAAGCCATATTATAAACTCCATGTACATTTATATTCAGTCTATAAGCAAGCAAGTATAAAATACAAGAACAACATATTTTAACATTATGAAAATACTTACATTTTAATACTTAAAAATGCTTAAAATACATTTTAATGCTAATGAGAAAGGCTCACAGAAACAGCTTTTCAGACTTTTTATCGGTGGAAGTAAAAATTATTTTACTTCTATCAGAAAGCATTGTCTAACCATGTGGCCAAAATTAAAAACACTGATATCCTTTAATGCAGTGATTCCAGCTATAGAAATACATGTTTCAAAGGTTCAAAATATGTTAAAAAAGAACATTCAAGATAAATATCATTAACACCTGTAATATAGAGATCCACACCAAAGCCAACCTGGTATCTGACAGTGCAAAGATGTTTACACGAGCAACACACTCTTCATGAAAAGAGTGGTTTGAAAACCATTTAATAACGTGAAAAATGCTTGGCATTGAGAAATGAGAAATGGAAAATATAACGACATCAAATTGTTAGCATAATACAATTAAACCCTTATAAAAATAATTTGAGTAGGGCAAAGACCAAGGAGAGGCACTAGTATGTCAACACTGAGTGCACTAGAGTGGTAGGATGGCAGGGAAGAGTTTTCTCAAATATCTTTCACACATCTGTGACCTTTGGACACAAAATGATCAAATAAAAATCAAAGCCACCATCAAAATTATCAATTAATTTAAGATTCATGCTAACCCATTGCAGGGTGCAAAAAAATACTTTGGTTACAACAAAACTTTGAGTACAATTGACAATCGATATTGAAAGAATATATGTGAAGATTTATGATAACAGTTTTGTTCATCTGGGGGTATGCTGTGTGAAAGTTTCCTTTGCAAAACTCTCATCCTTTTTGTTTTATGTTTATATATTTTAATGCATGTATTTATGAAAAAAAGGCCTTCGAGTATACAACAGTATTAACTTACTCAGCATATTTTCTCAATTTCTTTTGCAAGTATAGAAATATTTTCTGGGGAGAAATACAATTTTAAGGTTCCCCAGAAAAAGATCATTATATAAGAAAATGCTTTAAAACCGCTTAGCTGTCCAATTATTTAAAGACGGGATGACCAAAAATTGCATATTTTTTCATTAACTTTTATAAGATAATGTAACAGGAAATATAAAAATGACAATCTTATCTAATTTATTCAGTACAAGACCCGACTGTTGAAATGACACCTGCCCAAGCCATGCTCAGCACAGTCAGTTCATAAACAGACGTGGTTGCCAAACTGTTATGTGGTTAAAGTCATGCTTAAAGGAAAAAAAAAACCCAAAACCCAAAACTATTTGTTTTCAAAACAACTCATAAAATACAATTTAAATAGATGCAAATTTTGTGCTGAATCCCACGGGACAATAGGACACTAGGTTCCGCCTTACGACAGCCGACAGCCATGCGAACGGACTCTGGGTTTTCCCTCGTAGCTCTTAGGTGAGTCTATGAAAAGCCGCACCCTTCCAGCATCCTTCACAAGGGACCCAGCGTGGACGCTTCCTCTTGACTCTCACCCTCTTGACTCTCACGCGAAGCTGTCGAAACTGTGGCAAGTTGTTGGTATTTCAGTAAACTCCTGCTGGTTATCTCTATACAGCAGGGCCTGTTTAAGGCTAGATTGCGGGGCTGCAGTCCTAAGTGTATGTTGTTATGTATCGTTTGGGTTCATTCAGAATTTCCCCAGGCACAGTGCTGCAGTGCTGTTCATTCAGGGTACTGTCTTAGAACCAGCTAACCAATAATTTTTACAGCTTTCCAGAGAGACATAAAATGTATGTACAAGCAAAATGTTAAGTCAGAATTTAAAGCCCCAAATTCCCATTGGCCTTTGATTTGAAACAGAACAGCAACGATGCACAAACTGAAAAGGCAAGGTGAAAGAGGAAAGACCTCTTTTCTAGTTTTTCAATGGGCTGAAAAATAAAAGTAAACTAGGCAATGGATGCCATGATCTGAAAAAGACTTAAAGTAAAAAATGGTACTGAGATGAATTTGCCTTCTACAAGGAAAACAAAGCTTTATCAAGCATTGATAGACATCACTTTTAAGAGTCAGCTCCAGTAGAAATGTTTCAAACATTTCTTCCCCCTGCTAAGAATGCAGCATATTACTTTGTGCTACTTTTTTACTTTCAGTATATATAAAATAACATGTTATTTTGGTATAGTGAAGTTGTACCTTGATATTATGCTCATTAACAGGACTCATAATATACTTTCATTATTTCAAATGAGTTTCACAACTACTAAATTTTAAACACTTTCTAGTAATTCAAATTTAACTGACCTGGTGCTAAGTCTCCAGGAAGGAATTGCAGAAGTATTCTTTTTTTTTTTTGGTACCGGGGATTGAACTTGGGACCTTGTGCTTGCGAAGCAGGCAGCGGAACCACTGAGCTAAATCCCCAGCCCTTGCAGAAGTATTCTTAAAAGAAAATGAGGCCCTTTTAGACAAGGTTTCCAAAAGTAAATTTGGCAACAGGTAGAAAGAGTACATATGCAAGGGTACAGACACGCATATAGTTTTCTAAAGTAAGCTTGAAAAAGAAAAAAACTTCAAACTCTTCTCTAGCTTATAAGCACCAAACTTGATTTTTTTCACTGGATTTGTTAATCTCGCTATAGCAAAGTCTTCCCTGGTGGCCGACGTTCAACACCCAGGTCCCAGCTAAAATGCTTGCTAACTCCTGATTACTTGCATGAAGAGAAAAATGAAACAGTGGGATTCATAAAAGCCCTAAGTTCTGATTTTAGGATTAGCTTCTCCTTCCCCCCATTTACAAAGAACAAAATGATCAATTTAACGTAATCCTAAAGCAAAGGACAGAAAAGCAAAGGACTGCAGGGAGTCAGAGCCTGCATAACTGAGCAGTGACCATACACAGTATGTGGCAAGCTAGAAATAATACTTCTGTGACATTTCCGTGCTAGATTTTCCCTGTATACATGTCTTAATCTTTAAATGTAAATTAAAGAGTCTGATGCTTTAAATCTGTAATTGTGAGCAGGCTTAAATTTTGAACTGTCACGCAAATAGAACATGTACCACTTATAGATAAAACGTTCAGTTTATACACATAATGGAATTGCTCTTCTAGAATGAAACAGCAAATACCCCTTTCTCTGCCCCCACCTCAGGACAACGACGAGGCGATGCCTGTCCTGTGGACAACTGTCCGTCCTCTGCAGCGGGCGTGCCCTCCGTCCTCCTGCTCCCCAAAAGGGCAGCTTACCTTGCACTTTGGACACTTCTGGGCATTCCTCTGCCCGTGCTCGATTTCGCTGGCCCAGTGACGCAGCAGTTTGTCTCCTTTTCTGTACTCTTTGCAACTGACACCTTCGTGCCAAGGGGAGTGGCACTTAAAACACCAGACAAACTGGCAAGCGGGGCACTGGATCTGTGTGAGGAGAAAGAACATTCAGCGCTAGCAGCGGCACTCACAGAGTGGGAGTGCACACGGGCCAGAGGGACACCGCCTTCCGCCCGGGGCATGGTGCATTATTCTTGCCCTCAAAATTCGGCACCGAAGTAGGTAAGAACATCCGAGAGGAACATTTACAGACGGAGAAAGAAGGCTGAGGGAGCGCGAGCAATGTACGCATGCTCTGGGAAGGATTTGAAATAAGCCCGTCTGGCCTCAAGGCCGCGTACTATTTATTGGGCCCGACTCCTGCTCCTCCTCCACATCGTTTCTTCACTGACAACCTGAAGTGCGGCAGCGCAAAGGCTTCACGCACTGGCTGTACACGCGCGACTGTCCCACCGGGCAGCCTGTGTCCCCGATGGGCCGGTCCCCTGCTGCCCGGCAGGACAGCTGTGCGCGCACCTCCAGTGGGGTCTGAGCCACTCGGCAGCGAGACACGGGAATCACAGTCCCACCGAGAACGGGCAGGAGTCTGCATGGTTCCCAGCCTAAGGTGAGTTAGGAAAATCCTTTATCTTGCATGAACTAGAAGCTCCCTGGTTCTTTTTTAAAGGATAGTAATATTCAGGCCATTTAAAATATTTTTCTAAAAGTTAATAAATGTTTTTCAGATAACTAAGAGCAAATAAGTCACTTTTTAAAGTTGGAAGAAGTGGGTGAGTTGAAGTGGGTGAGTTTTGGACAATAAAACATCAAATGTTTGTTTCCGTGTGCCATGGGACAGTGAAGACTGGATGTCACCCTCACCCGGGACCTCCTTGGGAGTCCAGCGGACGGATGGGACAGTCGGGCCACACTGCTCGCCTCATGCACCTGAGGGTGTCAGGGGCCTGGCTGTTCAACTGAGTTCTCTTCTCTCACACATTATTTCTGATTCTAAATCACTGGACTCTCCCATTGCTAACTGTATTTTTTCAAAGGCTCTTTGAGTGTTAATCAGTCTTAGACTTTATGATTGTAAAGGCTTTGAAACTGGGATCACCGTGTGAATACCAGGCATTAAAATGGTTCACATCCATGGATCTCCAATTATGACACTCAAAAAATGCGTGATTTTCCCGAAGTACCAGAATGAAGGAATCTGACCCTTGGCGTCTAAACCAGGGGCTGTGGCTCTCAATTTCCCAGGATAAGTAAGTCCTACCAGCAACCCTCACCAACAACTCTCACTGACAAACCACACAGCAGTGCTGAAGCAAGCTTCTGAGTGACTACGAATCACCAAAATTCACACTCGATTGCTTACCACGCTCTGAGCTGAAAAAACCAAAGGACTACCAGCCAAGACCGACAGCTCTGGGACTCACAGACAATATGAGAATTGTTTTAACATTGACTTTCTGTTCAAAGATCCCTTCTTCACTCTGCCCTAACCATATCCGAAACTGGCCTCGTAAACACATACAATCAACGACACTGTGCCTTCCTCCACTCATATACACAACGACTTCCTCAAGAAATGCCCTCTCCAGAGCTCGGGCAGCCATGGGTGCTGGCTTCTGAGGGATGAGGAGTCTGCACACAGTGGCGCATTGCTGAGCCCTTCTACTCAAAGCGCGGTTTGAGGATCGGCAAAACTGTTGTCTTCAGGAGCTCGGTGGAAAGAGAACTCATGGTTTCCCACGAGTCTCCATTCACAAGGTCTTTCGGTGGCTCCTGTGCATGGGAGACGTCCACAAGCTCCGTTCTACACCGTGACCCCATGTCCTCGGCACAACTTATTAGGCCAGGGATGACCAAAATTGTGCGCGGTGACGGGCACAGATGCCAGGCTGATTGAGAGGCAGCTGGCGTGAGCTCTGAGTAGCAGAGGGCTCACTGAGGAGTGAAATTAGCAGAGGGAGATTTTCTCTAGAGGAGGGAGGTGGGGACACAGGTCGCTCTCAGGGAGTGGCTGCTGAGACCATCTGTGCCCTTCCTCCCCCCGGAGGGCCTTCAGTAAACCTCACACACTGTGGTGAGCTGAGGACAGCCCATCTGTCCTTGCTTCCTTAACTGAAGAGTCCAAGGGCACAATCTGTCTACTGAGCTCTGACCCTGATCGAGGGCTCCTTGCTTCAAAACTTCCTCCCCATTCCTCCAGCCATCCGTACTTTCTCACAGCCTTTATATCAGGCAGGAAGGTGTGCAGTCTCCTTAGCAGCCTACGAGCTGTTCATTCATCCTGTGTTTGCTGACTTCAGTAATGCAGAACCTCTGGCATGCATGGCAGACACTCTGTAAGTTATCTGTAAAATGAACTAAGGGAATTCAAAGGAAACCGACATAGTTAACTGATAATCAGCAGCTGGGATGCCTTTACCATGTCCTGTATTACCAGACTTTGCTTACAATTTTATCCTAATGACATTTTAGTGAACATCATGATGAATATGCAAACTCTTCTACAAGAAGCTTCAAATTTTTCAAGAATAAAGCTTCCAGAATTTAAAAATCTTGACTAACTTGCTCCAGAATCCATGGAAGCTAAAAGAGCACTTTACAATTTTGAACCTTATAGATTTTAAAGGCACTGCACTATCCTGACACTCATGTAACATGTGTACCACTCCACTGGCCCGAAACAAGTATTTTCCCCTGTCAATGCATTATGCCAGGAAAGAAATAACCCACAGAATAAATACAGAATAAATAAAGGAAAGAGAATCCCAGATAACTATCTCCCCCTAAATTCTATATCCTCCTTTATATATCATCATTTTAAATAAATCACAAAATCATTACTTTTTACACTCAAGATACTAGACACTATCAATGCGTAAATGAAGTACTCTGGAGACAAGAACTAACAGTTTCCCAAAAGGAATCTGTTTTATTCGAATTTGAGGCTACACAGATATTCAATAATCTATTCAATAATGGCACACATTTATCAATTCATCTGCCCATCCACCAAATATTTATGGAGGGCCTCCCAGAGGCGAGGCTGGCTGTACTGACACCACACCAAAGAATGAAGAAACCCCAACGTAAGGAACTTAAGAAGCGGACAGGCGCAGATCCTACAAGCACAACCGTGTAGTGCTAGACAGAAGCCTGGACAGGCCACTTTGAGGAGAAAGATGCTTCCGGAAAGGCTGGAAACTGAGGGAATCTTCAGAGAGCTCGCACAGGAAGTCAAATGTTAGTGGGGCGAGTGTCGGGCATGGACCAGGCAGCGTGTGCAGCCCTGGTCCACACCGGGGTCTGAGGGAAAGCTCAGAACAAGCAGCTGTTCTACTGTAGCTGAGTGGACAAAGCACTTCTGCTAGCTCAAGCCCAAGCCTTGCTCAAATGCCCAAAAAATCAGGGTCCAACAGGTTCCTATAACCCCATGTCCACAAATTTATGCTGTGGTCCAGAAACTCCTATGGAGCGTGTGACAGTGACAGCTCTCAGGCCAGGGTGCTGTCCAGAGACGCGGACCCATCCAGCAAATGACTGGGACTCTCCTGGTGACAAAGGGGTTCTGTAAGGACCAAGGAAATGCTCCTGCATGGGAGAAGAGCAGAGCGTTCCAGAGAGGAGAGGAGACCTCAACACCCCCAGGCCGCTCTGCTTCCTCTAACCTCAAATCCCAAGCACAGGGTCGGCAGGGGTGGGTGGCACGGGTTCAGGCGCCTGACTTCTTGGCCCCAGCCTTTTTCCTTGAGTTCACCACCTACCTGGGAGGCCCCCCACTAGCACTGCAGTCACAGAGGCCCAGATGTGGCCAGGCGCCCTCTGCCTTACTTTCCCATGGCGCACCTGAAGCCAAGCTAGAAAAGGAAAGAAAAACTCTCCTAAGGCTTGGGGACCAAGAGCAGACAAAACCACAGTGACACGTAGCAAGCTAAGCTCCATCCAGACACCATGTTTATAAACAGCCTTCAGCCAGACTCCTCAGCACTGGTTTCACAACCGTAACACATTCTGGGTGCCGCCATTCCTTTGCCTTGATGCTAGGGTTCATCTGTGAGAGGCGGGCTTCCATGGAGGAATGGCAGGGCTCAGGATGGGGTCATCTGGGAGGAGCCCCCTCTCAAACTGGCAATTGCTGCTCACCCCTGTCCAGCTGGAAACACTGTCCAGCACTGATCGATTCTCCCTCTAAATCCAGAAAGCAAGGTCCAGGAAAGCATTTGTTTAAGTCTATTTCCGGTCTGAAGTTACATCGCTGATGAACACAAAGGGTACTGGGAAATTCTGCCTTGGTTTGTGTAGCCTGAACTCCTAGCCAGTAAAGTGTGGCATCATGTGGTTTTCCACAGGTCCGTTCTGAACACGACAGGGGTTACATCTCGTAAGAGACACACATATCGTCACAGGAAGGACATTTACTCTTACAGTGTACAAGAAACAATGGGACTACTCTCTCTGATAAGTAAATGAAACCCAGAGAAAGAGAGAGAAAAGGGAGAGGAGAGGGGAGGGAAGAGGAGAGGAGGGAGAGAGCGAGGGACCTCAACCTGGACTTAGCAACGAGTTCTCTCAAATTAGAGTGCCCCGATATAGAAGGGAATGACTGGATAGCTAAGGATTTGCTAATGGGCAGCCTCACAATGAGAGTCCAGTAGGCACACAGTAGAGACTCACCACACAGACAGCTCTATCAGGTCCCCTACCAGTCTAAGAGGGAAATAGGAAATGCAGGAGCACAGAGGGTGGTAGATGAGAAACGCACTGCACCAATTCCTCTTGTCATCTTCTGACCTTCTGCTAATGTGCAGAAGATTTGGTTAGTTTGGTCCCTCCTCCAGCTGGTCATCAGGGAGAAATGACTCTTCGCTTAGACCAACGGACAAATGTGACTAAGTAAAAGTAAACAAACAGCAACAAAACAGTTCTCAAGACCACTGGAGGTCAAAATACGGTAGCTATGGGTCTTGATTACTGTATTTATTTAGTAGAATTGGGGGGGGGGCGCTGACGTAGGCTGAAACATCAGATGACTTCCATTATTCAAATGCTGGGAGAAGTTGAACTTGAAGCAAAAACTCTAAAATATTACAGAT